CGGGAAGCAGCGCACATAAAATATTCCAAACTTACCTTCTCAAATTGACAGAATAAATTCCGACGAAATAATCTTTCTTGTTCAGTTCAAATTATAAGTTTTCATCTACTGGTGCTTTGCTTGGTTGCATTGCTAAGTTCTTACGATTGAATCATTTAGATCTGAACCTTTCTGTTAGAGAGGAGATTTCAGTGAATCAATGCGCCTATTCAAAAATATATACCTTTCGCCTATTATATCTCGTGCGATTTTTCCTTAAGCTACAAGAACTCTTCTTAATCAAAGAAAAAGAAGAATCCGGGTTGAGAAAAAATTTATTAGTGGTTCGGAAATCCACACGAAAACTTCAAAAGTATCCTGAGACATCATTAAAAGTGGTTTATGATACATTAAGTTATGACGGATTTATTTATATGTTTGATGAGATAAAAGAACTGAATCAATTAAATGTTTGTAGAGACCATAAAATCTGTGTGTGTAGTTGCGTGTTGCATTATAATCATATCGTATTTTATTTCATTTCCAGAACCTTGAGGATCTTGAATTAGCGTTGGAATGTTTACAGCAAATGGTACGCGAATACTTAAATGGATTATTCTTTATCCTAAAATCTCTAATTCTGATGTGAATCTATAGGCGAGAAATGTCGAAATAATGAGCTCTTCGAGTAACATAAGTGATGGGGTCAAGATGGTTGTTCATCAAGTAGAAAATAAACTTCTATCAAATCTTGATCGCGCAGAATTTATTATTAAGCTCGTTGAGGACTCCAAAGATAGGCCACCTAGGTATCTATTACTAAATTTTGTATTCAAATGATAATATATATTGACAAAAATTTTATTACATTAAGTGACGTTAATATTGTAAACTGGGAGATTATATAGCTTATTCTTTGATTCCTATGTGATACTTTATTTATTACTGGAAGCTTTATTGCGATTTTAGTCGCGTCTATTCATCGCTTTTTATCGATGATCGAACACTTTTCGAAGAAGAGACATATCTATGTCATCAGAGCGAGTCACAAGGAAAAACGTAAGAATAACTTTAATGTTTCGCGTCGTTTGTCCCTTTTTTTTTTATAACAATTAACTGACAGCTACAATTTATATTATTGCAGTCGAAGATAATCGTGCGAAGGCATATTCTGTTGGTTTTTCTAAGAAATCTCGTGCTGAGTATAACGAAGGAAAGACTAAAGCAGAACATTTCCGGGATACCGAGCATGTGAAGAAATATTTAAAACTTGAATTATCAGAAGAAGATAGATTATTTCGTCGGAATTTATTCTGTCAATTTGAGAAGGTAAGTTTGGAATATTTTATGTGCGCTGCTTCCCGTAGAATGACGAAAACTAATTATTATTGTTCCTAGAAATTTGCTAATGAAAAAGTTATTGATACGTATATGTCATACATTAATGATTATGAAGTTCACGAAAAGTACAAATGTGATTTTTATTCTGTGAACGTGATGTTTGAGCGTATCTGTGTGAATCAAAACTCGATGGACCTTTTTATAAAGGTACTTTAATCCGAACTTAAGTTTACTTTCCTTTTTAAATAAAGATGTTTAACGTCCTTTACTTTATCACGCTAAAGGTCAAATATTTGAACGTAATGTCAAGGATTTTGAGAGCCTGGGACCGGATTGCAAATAATTTAAAGGCTGGAAATCATGAAGATCCAAATCTATCCTCGTCCCAAGAAGATTTCTTAGATCTTGTCAAGGATGTTTGTAACAAAATATATAAAGAAATGAAAGTGGAGAGTTTGTTTGCGCCAAATTATGAAATGGTATAATTTTATTCGACACAAGGCTTTTTTTTTTTTTGTATCTCTTCTTGATAACGAACGTATAGTATTTCTATCTTATAGTTTTCATTATTCGAAGAAATTGACAAGGTCATCCTGAGTTATACTTCGTTTTTAGAAAAGCAAAAGTCGCATCAGGAAAAAGATGTTAGTTTTATTATTATTTTAATTAGTATCTTGCATTCGACATTATATTGATTCCAAATTTGTTTTCTTTTAAAGGAACGTTTTAAGCACAGAGTTTCAAAACCTCAATTCACGGACGAGGAAAGAGAATTTTATATGAAGCTTTCTGTCAAACAACTTATTAGAGAAGGCCAATTAATGCATATCAAGTGGCTTCAGGAGGTATTATTCTTTTATTTTTCATTAAGGTGTTATGTTTTAGTATGTAACCTTTTGGTATGCATAAATTTAGACCATGATTAAATTGGGATGCCAGCGGATTACCGAAGAGCAAATTGCCGCGAAAAAGTATGCAGAATTATCTTATTCAAAAGTCGCAGAAGAGCCACGATTACTCTATGCCGATCACAGTAAGTGTGTAGTCGTAAAACTAGCGATTATCATGTATTTTGTTAAGCCTACATTTCTCTATCACATAGGAATCCTTCCAAAAACAGCAAAAGTTCAGAAACTTCTGAATTACTATGGCTTCTTTAATTTCTCTGATAATTTCATCTGCCGTCTTATGTGGACTCTTCAATTTGAACGAAAATTTGGTGCGTATCTGACTGAAGTTTGAAGTTCGACCCCTTAATTTACGTTAATACTAAGTCTTTTCGTAAAAACTTTAGGCATAGAAGGTCCGTACTGGATTATTCCAAGCACCCTTCCGGGAAAATACCTAATCTCCCAGGCTGAATTAGTTGAAAAATACGTTGAAGAGTGTCAAGATGAACTTAAGGTGAAAAGGTCAAGGAATGAAGGTGCAAAGGACTTAAACGATTCAGATGACACGATTGAATCAGATGCGGAGGAAGGGAGTAATTTAGATGATGAGGATATGGATTCAGACTATACACTCAAATCTGATATATCAGAGAACTATTCTGTTCCTATAAAAAGAAAAAGACAAAGTGATGTTTTACCCATGTGCAGAAACTTTCGTGTTCGTCGGTTGCGATTATAAGTCTAGTGATTTTCATTTCTGTATCTTAAACTCATCAAATCCGCACTTAGCCGGTGTTAATGATCCAACATTTGAATTCCAAATATTTAAATGCTGAATGTGATATAGCTTAATACAATTTTCAAAAATGTATACATTCAATTTAGAAATATTTTTAGTCAAATTAATAATGAGATTTTTTGATTAAGCTGTATATTTTATTGATGGTTTAAAACTAGTTATTATAATGGAAATGAGTTATTGAGTTTTGGAAATTTTGGAAGCATGGAAATTAACAATCAGATATAATGCTGTCATGTTTGAATATAAAGTAATCAATCATTGAGAAAAAAATTTTTTTATTTTTATAAAGTTAATCGAGTGATAACAAAATATTATTTTATTTATATAATTATTATTATAATCAGGTTTTAAAATTTAATTTAATTTTTCAAGTGATTTTTCCTAATATATATGTTAAAAGAAAAAAACAAAATTTCAATTAATTAAATAAATAAATTTTCAATCAATTTAAATCATTTCTTACAAAAATAGATATATGTCATAATCTACTAATAATTTTTTAAAATAAAAATTTTTTTATATTTCATGTGATTACAGCTCAACAAAATATTTTTATTATATGTTTCATATTGAAATTAAGATCTTAAGCTTTTTAAAAATAGTTTTATACAAATGATTATACTTAAATTTATTGAGATTACATGGATTATCTAAATTTGATCATAATAAAAATATAATTTTTTTACTTTTTTATTTATTTTAATTAAAAAAAACATATTTTATTATAATAAACCATATATTTTTTAAAAGCTAAAGTCTTTTTGAATCTAAAGAAGGTGAGTTTTTAAAACTTTGATAGTTTTTTATAAAGATATTAATTTTCAAAAATTTATAATTTTTAATATAAAAATAAAAAATATGTATTAATTGTTAGCTTTTAAATATTTAATCAAATTTGACAAAATATATTATTTGAAAGTTCTTATTAAAAGAAATCAAATAGTATATATTTTGTCAAATTTGATTAAATATTTAAAAAGCTATCAATTAATATATATTTATTATTTTTTTGAATAAACTTTAATATACAGTTCTCTTTAATAAATAAAAAACTACTTAAGAACTACTATAATTAATTGAAAATAATTATCATATATTAAAGTTTTTATTTTATTAATAAAAATAACTTTTATATATTAAGTAAACATGTTTCTTATAATTTTATATATAATTAAATTTTAACAAACTTTTATTATTATATTTATTAATTTTTTCTGAACAAAATTTTAATACTTATATAATTTTTATAACTACTATTTAACAAGTAATTTGATATTAATAAATTTTGTTTGGCATATATTAAAATATTTAAATATTAAATTTCATAAATTTTTACCTAATATTTAAATTTTTATTTGATAAAATATAAAAAAATTATTTTATAAAAATTATTTTTTTATTATTTTTTTTTGTAAGTAAACATCATTTCTTTATTTAATTTGTATGTAACAAGGTATATATTGTAAAAGAAACAATATCTCTCATATATTAATATAATGAATTAAATGCTAGCTTGTCTATAGAAAAATTATAAAATTTAAAATTAAATATTTATTAAAACTTTACAATATAAATAATTATTTTTGAAGGTGAACTGGAAATTTTCTGGTATAATCCTAAAATTTATATTATATATGTATTGTTTAAAAGTTGGATCTGAAAAAATCATATCCAACATTTTTGTTACCTTCAAAAATAATTATTCATATGTATTTTATTTTAAATAATAATAATAAATTTTTGAATATAGCTACTATTAGTAATTAATTAATAATTATAATTAAATATAAAAATTTTTACGCCATTCAAAGTTTAATATAGGTTTTGAAATTCATTTTCCTGTATTTTTGGGTGGTGCTAAGGAGCACAAGCGGATGGGCCCTTATGGTAGGCCTTGCATTAAACCCTTCCTAGCAAGGGAGATGTATACCGCGTACTTAATATAAAATCTTGCCCTGTTACAAGTCTAAAATTTATAATAAAAATACATGTGGGGAGCCATCCGCTTCTTCAAAAAAAAAAAAAAATAAATATAAAAATTTTTATTATTATTAAAAATTTATTAAACTTAATATTTAAATACTTTAATATAAAAAATTCTTTTCTATTTTTTCTTCAGTACTTGAAAATTTTCTTTTTAAGAAATTCTTAAGCTGTTTATTTTTTTATCTTTCTTTTTTATTTTTTTTTATTTTTTTTTTCCATATTTTTTTTTTCTTTTTTATATATTTTTTTATATCTTATATTCCTTTCCTTTTTTTTTTTCAAATATCTTTCTTCTTAAAAATCTTACTTTCTATAATATCATTCTTTTGGCTAATTGATTTTCTTTTCTTAAAAATTATATTAAGAAATAATAACTTTTCTCAAGATATAAATTTTAGAAAAATTTTTTTTTCATGACTCTTTAGAAAAGGAATAAATAATTTACTTTCTTCAAAAAATTGATATACGTAATTATTATTATCAAATTTGATATTGTTTATTATTATTATTTTTTAAATAGGCAAATATCATCATTTTATTATAATTATAAAATTGAAAAATTTATATATGAAGAAAGTAATAATATCTCTTACATGACCAGTTGATTAGCAAGTTTAATGCTAGCTTGCTTATGGTAAATTATCTAAGTTGCAAAAGAAAAAAAATATTAAAACCAATACATTGTCAAAGATAGTGCCAAACAGTTATGAATACCTATTCAGATTTATATGTAAAAAAACTATAAGAAGTAAAAAAGAAATAAAATACTAAGCAAAGAAATAAATGCAAAAAAACTAATTGTAAAGCTAAGGATACTTTAAATAAATATGCCATGCTGGTAATTTTATTTAACTGAAGTATAATGTATATGTACTTATTACAAATGGCCAGGTTACTGTCCAAAGTATACAGTAGTGTTGATGATATATTTCTTTGATAGTCAATTAGTTGTGATAATTATATTGTTGTTTTGTTAATATAATTAGTAATTGGTTTGTTTATTAATAATATAATTGGTTTGTTTGTTGATACTGTAATTTTGTTTTGATAGTTGTTACTGAAAAAGACTTTATTTATATTAATTAGTATATGATGTTTTGATAGTATAAATTTGTTTGAATAATTGGTAATGTTTAATTGATTGGTTTTGTGATGTTAATTAATTGACAAAAACAAACTGATTGTGGTTTTTTTGTAAATATTTTTTTGAAAAAAGTTTTGTGATTTTTGTGGCATAGTAGATTATACTGGATGATAATAAAAAGTAAACAATAAATATATTGCTGGTTCTTCAAATCAACAATATAAATATTTTTAATGTGATTTGATTTTTTAATTTGCAAAAAAAATCTCCAAAAAAAGAATATGATTATTTAATAAAAAATGTATATTTTCAAAAAGTAAAAATAGGAAGAACCCCAAGGAAAATTTATAAAAAAATAATTGTCATGAACCTTTCTTTATACAATTCAAAGAAAAAGCAAGAACCCTAAACTTGCTTTTCTCTAGTTAGAGATTCCATCCCAATGTAACAATATATTTATTTAATTTTCTTGAGGTTTTTGTAATAAAGATAAAGAATGTGTAAAGAACTTTGGGAAGTTAAAAATCAAAAAAAATATTTGGTTCTTTAATTTTGAAAGATAATTACTAAAAAAGGAATTTTTTTTAAAAAATTGTATATGGGTAGGGTTCCAAAAAGTACCGAACTGGTATCAAACTGGTATTGAAATGATATTGATCTATAGTAAATTTAATATATGGGTTGTAACCTACTCATATGTTTTTATAGTAAATTTAAGTATCAAAGTGGTATC